ATAAATAATAAACAGTTGTTATAAAGTTGTGCTGAAAGGGAAAACTCACAAGTTTTGGATTTTTTATAATTACCCATCAAGAACATTCCAATCCACATCCGCCACTCTCTCTCACGGGTAAGCTACCCAGTTTAGTAGCACAACGTTAATATCGACGACGTTTCGTAGTCGTCACGTTTGACGTTCCGCGCGCGAGCATGCTTTCAAAACGTTCTGCACTATTGTGGTGCGACGTTGCGCCAAGGTATTCGACTAATTTATGATCGTCATCTGCCCTATTAGAATATATGGGTTAGACTTTGCGACGTTACTTTGGTTAAGCAGATAGTAAAATACGCAAGTAGTTATCAATAAAAATCTCTTTCGCTCACTTACGCGTCATGGAATATACATGTCTTTTTGCTACGATACTTCAACCAGTTTATTCGTAATATTCCCAATATGTCCGTTCTACATCCTGGGGATCTTTCCTGACAGTTTTTCCGAGATTAAATTGTGCAATCGAAAGTTTGAGTAATCAGTGGTTACAGCAACATAAACTCAGTGACGATGTTCGATAATACAGGCACATATAGTTACCTTTTAAAAAAATCGAATTTTTCTTTTCAAGAGTGAACACAGTCTGTCTGTAGTAATAACGCAAATTCCATTATAAAGTGTACTAGTTAATTAATTTTCGTTGCGCGCAAAACCACATTACAACTTAAATCAAATATAAACGTACAATTGACCAGGACCAATGGGAGCGCTGGAAGTATCAGCCAACCTCTCGTCCAGTGAATCAGTCGGAATTCTGGTCTCGTAAATATTGCGAGTTGGGACGTTCTTCGCAACTGAGGTCATCGGGCAGTCGTCCGGAACTACGAATATTCGGTTTCGGGCATGACACGAGCGCATGGAAGGACACAAATTTTGCTTTGAAAGAGGGCTTGTTGACCCGACCCCTCCCCCCAGATTCTATCGCCACCAAGTTTGACCGAACAGCAGCCTTTTGCAAGTGGACCTGATTGCCCAATTATAGCCGAAAATTTCATTCGAGAATCCTGCCGAGCTAACTGCTGTTTTTTGGTCTCTTCTGAGCCGACTTTTGCTCATCTGCCAGACGGACCCCGGTATCGTAGTCATCATCGAAACGGGAAAGGTGGTTTGGGAGATGCCGATGATTGATTGAGGTGGGAAAAGACGGGCTGACGATTTGGAAAAAACCGGTAGTCGCGAAGAGGGTTCCACAAATCTTGACAGTTTTCGTTAAAACGTAATTTCCAGTGAACGAATGTTTGACGGCTGTTATTAAGAGAAAGGAATCTCTTCTCACGTTCTTGATCAAATTTTGAAAGATTGGTACTGTCTAGGTGAACGAAAATAACCATGAACCAAACGCTCGCGTCAGGACATTGTACGAGCGACATCTAGAGGTGTTAAAACGAGGGCGGGAGCGGACCTAGATGTTTTTAAAATGCCATATTATGTCACAATTTAAATATTATACTGCATATGATGACTGTAAATTAATATATTACCGCAATCATTTCCAGCATTCTAAGCTTTTCCATGGCTTCCGTTTGATGTCACGTCTCTTGTCTCCAGTCATCGGATTATCTGGAAAAGGACAAAGAATTAATGTTAAGATGACTTGAGCTAATTTAATCGATGAACAAGTATGGACAAAGCATTATATACATAAAGCCAGAAGGAGCCTCTTCTTCCCATATCAAATCTCTTTCGATGCTTTAAAATGGAGGGAAAACGTTTGCATATATCAGTCCCTCTATTACCTTAACAACCAATAATTTTATCAATTTCCCTCGTCTAAATTGCATGCGACAAATAAATGCTAGTGCTGGTATTATGAAACCGACCTGCTTTCGACTAATGGAAATGATGTCAACGTGAAATTCTTCTTCCAACGCCTGTTAACGCGAAGAGTAATAAGCAATAAGTGACAGATATTTGCGCGTTTCTTTCTCGTTTCTATCAAATACCTTACTGCAAATTCAGCCCAAGTCTTTCGATTGTTTCATTCCATTCCCACACGGTGCGTATGATCATCGGTCTGTCTTTTCAATAGGTGATTAAATAACGTTTGTAAAGTCTGATACATTCTTGAAAGAAATCTCGGTGTAATTATACAGTAGCCCAATTTTCATCTCCCCCTGATTGGTGGATTGTAATCACATGATCAGAACCCATCCCCCCCACTTTAACGAAGATAGCTTATAACGACCACGATTTTGATGAGGATCTCGGCAATCAGGACAACTGAGAACGGGAGTGGGAATGGCTGTGCAAGTTGAAGATGTTATAGTGGTAGTTGTTGTCGTGGTGGTCGTGCTTGTGGAACATTCTCCGACAATGGTAATCGATGCTAGCAATAATAACAGGCAGAAAAAGACAATCGAAGTAAGTGTAAGAGATTGTCTATTCGTTGTTAATTTTTTTGAACCAGAGTGACTTTCAACGGTTTTTATGTACGGAAAGGGAATGAATGATTGGTACAGTCGATACAGATATGCACGCCTCCATGAGAATGTATGCATATCATAAGATTAAGTAGAGGCTTTATTAAATTACTGAACGCGCGCATATAAATATGTGCATCCAGTTCAAAAATTAATGGCAATGTAAAAAATCGATCAATAAAACCGTAAAATGGCAAATATTTCAAAAACCGTGAACGATACGGACATGAAACTTTCACTGGCAACAAAGTAAGTACTATCTATCCACCCATCAAGTTTAATCACAAATCATTATGTACAATCTCTTACAATTTAGAACATTTATAAATACTATATACAGTACACGCTATTTTGTAATTTGAATTACACATAATACAGTGGAACCTCCCTAAGTGTAAGCCGACGGGACCGAGCTTCTGACGTGCACTTAGAGAAGGTGTGCATTTAGGGGATATTCAATCATGTTACGATACGAACGATAACCAATATATTGCTCATGCTATCATATTTATTTATTATTGTCTTTAATGCATAATCAATATCCATCGTCTAATATAACTATTATATTGGTCTGCAATCGATAGACTGTGCCGTATTCACAACGGACTAATACAAGGTATTCAAAAGATTATGTCGCAGACATCAGATTGAAACACGAAAAGTTTTATTATTATTATAACGGGTCTAATCACATGACGTGCATTTAGGGAGTGAACCAACAATGGAATATAATGTAGATAGGCTATGATTGGTACAGATAAAAACATATGCAAACGCCTCCTGAGCATGTGCCATGTTTGTAATTCCTGAACACCGCATATAAATATGTGAATCCCGTTCAAATTTTAGTGGGGATAGGCTAAAGTGGAGCAGAACGTGACACCGGGAATTGCACCGCTTTAGACATGCCCAATTAAGGGTAATGTAAAAAGATATAAGTATCTCAAGAACCGTAAACGATGCGGACAGGAAACTTTCACAGTAAGTATTATCTATCCACCCATCAAGTTTAATCGCAAAATCATTACGTACAATCTCTTACAATTCAAAGATTGTGCGTCTATAGTAATAGCAATCACTATTTTTAATTGGAATATACATATAATATGTATTAATTTTCAATATCGTGTAAACAGACATCATAATTATTGCTAGTTAAAAGTTAAAGAGCATAACATTCGTAGTTTCAGAGTTATTTAAAGATCAGTATACACTGTACGCGCTGATCATAATTGTTATCGTTGTAATTGAATTTACTAGCAATCATACATAATAATAACTATAATTAATAAATACAACTTACAAATCAATTAATAGTTGTAAAAGATATAATTATTATTATTGTTCTATTATTTTTAATAAACACGTCCTATATGCCGGTCTTGATCGTTCGTATAGTATTTGATATTATAGAAAATTATTGAATTAGATATATATTAATTGCATCTAATGTATACGAGTTGTCTAGGTCGAGGGTTATTGTATCCCTTTTTCCTTTCTCGGATATCATCTTGAGCCCTTCCTTCCTGTAATTTTAGGCTTTGTTTCGTGGTATCCACCAGTTTTGCGCACATCTGACCGAAATATATAGGTTTATAATAAATTTGTTAATTATATCTGGTAATATATATTTAGTTCATCGTGTCCTCATTTTTATCAATGATGATGTTTCAATTTTTACTCCGACCAATGTTGTTGTCAAATCTATTTTACAAAGAGCTCTATTGTACGTATCTACTATGTACTGTGCTAATACGCAAGTCTTATGCACACCCCCTTTGTATTGGTTAAACAGTAACGTAGTTCACTAATTCTTCAGTATCTAATTATCCTACAACAAAGGACAAGTATACACGCAGTGCAACTTTATCCCCTTTCGGAAATATGCGTGCATTAAAAATTATTACGAGGAAAATCTTATAAATATGCTATCGTTTACGTTTCGACAAATACAATCGTATTTTTATAATCCGATTACAACCTGACTCGTAATGAAGGGACAATCTCTCAAACTTTCTTCAACCATTTTTTTTACCTGCTAGCATTGCTAGCATTGATTATCGTTGTTGATGCTGGAAAATGTTCAACTACGACAACAACGACAACAACAACGACGACGACGACGACGGCAACCTCTTGCCCCGCTACTCCCACTCCCGTTCTCACTTGTCCCGATTGTCGAGACCCCCATCAAAATTGTGGTGATGGTCAGGGTCATCAAGATGGCAAACATTGCATAACAACTGTCACTTGTACGCTTACAGAAACTGAATGCAAGAACTCACGTTGTTCAGCTCCCGGTGCACCAGGATGGGATGGCCATCCTGGTGCAGGAGGCTTTACTCCCGCCGGAAGCTTTGGCCCCGAAGATTGTTGTAACGCGTGTTTGAACAATCCGCAATGCCGCGCATGGATAGTCCTCGGTACGTCGTGTCTTCATTCCACGGGCTCCCAATGTAGTAACGGTCCATTTATAGCAAATTCTGGAAATATTCGTTGTGCTGGTGGTGCTGCTCAGTGTACGGTATAACCGGCTTTCAATTACGTAATATTTTCTGTAAGACTAATGTTGTTTAGTTAATTCTCTTTCGTTTCGCTATAAAACGAAATCTCGTTTAGTCGGTTTTTTCGTATACTTGTAAAACAAATGCTGTTTGGTAATTATTTTGGTTTTTTAGTAAAACAAAATTTGTTTTTTATTATTATTGTATTGCCGTGTCAATTACATGACATTTGTTTAATTAAAATAAAAACATGTCAATGCATGGAAATGGAGTATTAATTATTATACTTTGAAAACGCATTTACGTGAATATCTTTACAACCACGAATGCTATGCTCTTGAATTTACACTGGCGATTACCATAACGTTTGTTTACATGATGCTTGAAAATAACTCCAAGTTATTATGTTCAAAATCTAGTAAATTCATTTACAAATGTTAATGACAATGATCGATGTATACAAGGCTTATTGATGTTAATTTATGCAAAATCTTACTTAATAACGTGTCATAAAATTCAACGTACGTATCGGTAATAATCCAAATTGTGGGTGTTGGAATCGTATGAAAACAAACGATCATCATTTATTATCAATCGAGTTTAAGACTACACTTTTTGCTAATGACTTTGGTGCATAATGTTTTTGCGTTTTTTCTCTTCCTCAATTGCATCTATACGTTCGATTGTATTCATTTACTAAATTGTTCATATTACGTGTATACGAAAGGAAATCCTACCAAATACTAATCTTGCACCCTATATTCTAATAAAATATGCATTTCAAATTGTTTCTCTATCATTTCTCATCCAAATCGAATGAAACGTTGAAGAAAAAATCGGCGAAACTGGTAGACCGACTTTAATCGTTTTATTGAACAGAGAAACTGAACGTTAATCAATACATGTTACAAAAATATATGTAAAATGATATTGCCAGCAAGCTTGACTAGTGTATAAAATACGGTTGCATTAGTCGTTACGTGCCTGCGAATTTGACAAAATTTTGTGTTACCCGATCATTTATGACATTTCGGACGGTGTGATTCTTAGATGTTGGTGATTACAGCCACTGCGAAGCTGACAGCACCATATTCCCAGAAAGACTTGTATATTTGGTTCCTTACGCCTTTGTACAGTATACCACAGGTTTGCGTGGCCCACGCCAGTTGGGACTGCATAACGGTGCGAACCTTGAATGAAGAGCTCGAGACGTACATCCTGCCGACCCACGGGTTCGGAAATGGTGTTGGCGGATTTTATCGATTGATAGGTTCACAAGGGATGCATGGAGGGAAGCGACCTCTCCTACTGGGATAGATCAAAAGTCAACATCTGGCCCTATCGCGTCATGTAACATGGAATCGTTCCACCGTAATCCTACGCGTAATGCGGATATTCGGATTCACGCCGTTCAGTTTTCGCCTGGAGAACAAGTATCACCGCTTCTAGGAACGAGGTACACTTTCAAGCAGTGCTGGCCTTCAATCTACAACTCATAGATAGTATCACCATTTTGCACCAAAAAGATGTTGATCCTACGTTCCACATATGGAGCATCGCCATTTCGCCTACTTGTGGAGTCGCAATAACTGGAGCAGTGACCGGCTATGGACTTTCAACGCTCCTCAAAGTCGTGTTCTGCCGTATCAAAGGACTTTACGAACGTATCACGCAAATTGAGCAATACTTTGATTCATGGGATGCCAATATGTTATCAGACGCGGAAGAGGTGGGCAGATGGGAAGTCCAACTGTCCAAATTTCATAGGGGAACCTCATGTTCGATCTCAAGGGTTTTTAGCACCCGAGACAGCTTAAATAGTGGTAACAGCTCAAGCAGCGCTGACGATTGGCAAGAGCAACTTAAAACCGTGTTCATTGTTCGCGTTACACATCTTCACACATACACGTACCCATGGGATTCTTCCCAACTTGTGCACGTATTTGCCTTGCTGGGTTCCGAAGTATTGATCGTAGCAATCAGAATGCTTACACAATTCGGAAGCCGTTTGTCATGCGAATATTAGGGATGATGGGATTTGACCTCTACAAGTCTGGACCGCGAGCTGATATCAGCCTGAAGAGAAACGGTAGCAACGAATGGATAGAATTTCGACGTCGAGGCGATTCCGAGCAAGACGATTCCGCTCAAGATGATTCCGTTCAAGGCGACACCCCAATAACAAGGCAAATGAACAATCAGATATCACTGATTTCTGAGCTGCACTATTCCGCAGATTTGTTGTCAGATTTTGTTGCTCGGGGGGCTATCCGAAAGAAGACAAAGTCGGTGGTATTGGAATAATAAACACAATACCAGACAAGAGAAGCATGCAATCACGGTTAATGGCATTCGGCGTCCTGTCAGAAAGTCTGATGAATGGTTTGCTTTAGTTTATCCGATAGATTGGTCGAAGGAGATGCGCCGGGGGCAAAGCATGGAAGAAATTCATCAGTGCAAATTCATCAGTATGCAGTCCGGCGCCAAATTGGCGTGGCCACCACGGCAAGAACCTTTTTATCGGGACCGACCTACTATATGGTTTACATCTTCAATGCAACCTTCCCTTTAGTTGACGAACCTACTCCTGTACAAATCGTTCTTAACATCACCCTAATTGTGGTATAACGTTAATTGGATTAATTGTAAAGATACAAGTCATAATCCTGAATAGGAATGGAGAACACTGATAATGATACATGATAATGGTAAGGTAAATGTCCAAAGCGTACAGTATATTGGTTGTTCGAAAAAACATTTTCGGTTACAAAAGTGTACCATAGGTTTTATGGTATTGAAACATAGTAACAGCATAGTCATTCCATGCGCATTCTTATTGACATGTGTTTCATGATAATAAATTCGATACAAATTGCTCATCTTACAGACTAAAATGTGCATTAATATTAATAATGTAAATTTGATAATAAATCAATAGACTGACTAATAAACAATCTACGAATTGGCCCAAGATTTGGCAAGTCTGCCTGAATAATTACTACACCGAGTGGTAACTCACTCTCAAGTCTGTCAACTGATGATCCAAAACAATTGATTCAGAGAATTTGACTGACTCTAATAATTTAAATAGCGAACAAATCTTTTGATCCCAACGTTTGTCATAATAATTGTCTTGGTAATTGTCTTAAGTTGATTTTGAGACTGTATGAGTTTTTGCAAACAATCACATTCGAACGATTGCTCTATAGTGAATACATCCTTGTTCTTAACTGAAATCGATCCAAGATTATGCGCCGCCCCAGAAAGTGGGCTGATGATGCTATCTATACCATTGTCAATCATATCGAGCTCCCTGCGCGGGAGACAAACCCTTCAATGTCAATCTTCTGCCAGTAGAAACTCTGCGCGCCGTTCTTCTCGGACGTCATCATCTTCCGATATAACCTCTTCTCGATCAGTATGCATGTCTGTCCTACTTTGTCTCGCCTATCACAAACCGCTTTCTGAATAACATACTAACGCGCTGCCATATCATACTCGGAGGGACAAGTAGCACGTAACGATTGTCGTAGCCGTATATCAACTGATTACCTCGGCCTAATGCTTGACATAGCATATCCATTGCCTGACAGATCCAAGCTTGTTTCATTGGCATGGCCATCTGCCAGTCAAGAAATTGAAGGCAGGTAAACGGACGGTGAATGAGACTATCGT